ATGGCACTACTAATGATTTGGAACAGCGAGCCGAAATTTCTGCAGATCAACCGGCAGAAGCTATTCCCAGCTAAATTGTTAATCGGAAGACAGAAAATGATTCTTGGCAAGCGCACTGCAGTAGCAAGCCTGTCTCATCGTTCCCCAAACTGAACACAATATATGACCGGCATTACAAAGTTAATGATAATTATTTGCCGTATGCCGTAAACGGCATATTGCCGAAAGCTGCATTGTCCATTACGGGACCAATCAATACAGGAGTGGTTGGTTAATAATCGAAATATCTTGTAGTCTTGCTATGATTGTTGTTGTTATTGATAAAATGGGTGCCGTTGTATGTTGTGACTTATGTATGTGATGAAACCAACACCAATTGACCGATCCCGAACGTAAAACAAAATATCAACCGAACTCGCCACTCTAAGTCCTTTATTACAGGTGTTGTGTGGCATGTGGCACCGCTTTTGCATTTCGAACAAAAAAAGTTGGATATCACCTCTCGGTGTCGCTCAAAACCCAAGTTACTTTTTTTTACAATTAGCGGTATATTTGGAGAAGTACGGTCCAATGATTTAGTTTTTGATGGAAACATGTTATTGTATAAAAAATTCGCTACAGCGACCCTCTTGAGAGGCCTTACGAATTCTCTTCTATACCATTTGAATATTGTCAAACGTGTGGACAGTTTGTTATCTGCGGAAATCAGGAAGGTACTGCTCCATGTTGTCGAAAATTTGATTATTATCGAATGAGAGGTTGCATCCAGCTCATTAAATCAACGACGGTATGGCCGTTGATTCGAAAAGTAAATTTCAAAGATTGGGGCACGTTGTTCAGTTGTGTACTGCTCCATTATAAATTGGCCAAGTCTTCTTTACAAAATACGGAAAAGAACAAAAAAATTATGATAAAAAGTAATAAGGAATTCACACCACTTCGGTCTTTCTGGCCCACTCTGTGCTTTTATCCAGCTCTTATACACTTCTTTTCTTCTTTTGCTCTCTTCAAGAAACTCCAGGTCGAACATTAGGAATTTAGTTGCCTGACACACCCACAACGAAAAGATTTGCAACTTTGGATTTTTTTGTATATACTTTTTAACGGATTAAACATCTAACACAACGAAACACTTTTTCTAACATACCAAAAATTAATTCAGAGAAGAAAAAACTCTTTCTAACAACAATAAATAACCATGGGTGGTCAATTTCTTGCAGAAAAAAACTAACAAAAACAACAGCTAGCTCAATATCAGACACGAATCAATTAAACACGCAATCTAAGATGTCATGACATTTACGCCAATATTCTCTAAAAGCCAACAACGGAAAAAATGTAGCTAAATCGGCAGCGTCATTCATAACCCTGCCGAAGGATGAGTGGAATTGAGACAACCTTTATTCGAGACACGATACACGGTCATGCTAAGGATTTTCCAAACAAACAACATGGCCTAAACAGCTGGGCAACACATTTAATAATGACGAAACGCCATAACTTGTAATTGACGTCATAATGTTGACAACTTACACATATCCACCAGCAGCTGCCTATAAATCGTCATCAGCAATAAAAAATAATAGAATGAAGAAAATCTTATCAAGGATATTAGCAGAACAGAAAAAAAAAACAAAAATGAATTTGAGTGTTAATGTCAACACACCTAAAAATGAATAAAACGAAGAAAATAATTAAAACCTATAAAACTGAAATTTTAATCAAAATTAATACTGCGGGTGGTGTGTTCTCCCCTTTACCCGGGGTCCAAGGGTTCGTACAGAAATGTATATCTTTTGAGACAGAAAGATAAAGACAATTGTTTTCGTTTGTCAAACGTGATTATTGAACTTATGTTATTAGTCTTCGGCCCGGTGTTAGCGATGGCTCTTCTACTTAAGACACGGCACAGAGAAGAAAGGTTTGGTCCTCAGAATTTGAGATGGATCATTCAGGATTACCGGATGGATTTAATGCAAGAGACCTTGATAAGTACTCAATAAGGACCTATGAGGGAGTGCAACGCTGCATTTAGACGAGATTCAATCCGTACTACTACCGTTCAGGTCTTGTATTGACAACATATACAGGGTTGACGGACCTTTGGGCCCATTCCAATCGACGATGCTTGTCCGCTGGCAACATTCTTTGCGTCAATTGAATTTTGTACAGGAACAAATGCAAATCAATGCGAATAATCCGTTGTAAAGTGGACCGAGGCATGCCCAACTGCTGAGAACGGCGTTTTTGGGATGTTCTTGGGGACCTCTCAACACTGGCTCGTACGGCAGCGATATTCTCGGCCGATCGCCTTGGTCGACTTTTATATGGCCTCTTCGGATTAGAAAGAGCCTTACCAGTCGAAAATTTTTCGTATAAACGCTTAATGGTGTTCTTAGAAGGCGCACTTCTCACTTTTTTAATGTTTTAAAAGCACGTTGAGTTTTCACAATTAACTTCTTCTGTTGAATTTCAACTATTTCAGAGCGCGTGTATGGGCAACCCTGTACTCTTTAAACAACTCTCGAGGCTTTGGTTTTCTCGTCTTTAAAGTTCTCCATAAATAGCGGGGGGAAGGAAGAACTTTGAAGTCTTTCCTGAATACCTCCCAGGATTGCCACAACTTGCGATTGTTGTTAACTCGCTGATATCATCTTGATCGGCATCATCATATCGGCTCGTTCTTCCAGTATTTCCACGAATTCAAAAGGCCTTCTGTCCACAGTGAAAGTTATATCCCACTACAGAACCTGCTCCAAATGTCGGTTGTTTTCCTGCTTTTTGATGTTGGCACCTCCAGCCGTATGGGCGCTGTGCCTTCCGTTTCTCTTATCTTCGTCTTCTTTTCCTTCTGTCTTCGTTCCTCTTTCGTGGATAGCTTTGAGTCCAATCAGTCTACTCATGACTGCTGGCTCATGTACATGGTAAAAAAACTGCAACAAAGTCAAACGCCATTTTTTTACATTTTTTTAATTTTATTGAAATAGCATGAAGTTTTAGAATAAATTTAGATTTGTTTGAATTGGTCACCTTTGGCACGAATTATGGCCTTCTAACGTCCAATAAAGCCGTCACACGCTGCCCCAAATGTTGCTCTGCGGTATTTTGGCCATTTCACGGCGAAGCGCTTGCTTGAGATGATCGACACTTTGGTATTTTTAGTGCCAACCTTGCTTTCCAAAATCCTCCAGCCCCAATAGTCCAACGGATTGATATCCGGCCATTGTGCGCTATAAATGAAGCTCTTTTGGAATTTCAATGGCTCTACCCCGAGCTCATGTTTTAATATTTGCCGAATGGTTCAGCTCACAAGCCATTTTTCGGCCATTGCGACGCGGATTTCGATCAAGTCGCTTCTTTACTTTTCAAACCATTTCTGCTGATGTTGCTGTTTTCTTCCGTCCACTTCCTTTACGTCGAGCTACGCTACCAGTATAAAGTGCGATGGTACGAGACACAAAAGACTTTTTCACATTTAAATGCTGGAGTGCTCTAACAATAGCCACTTGTGATTCTCCAGTCAAATATAAAGACACCACACTATCACGCTTGAGTTCCATTACGAATAACTTTTTTTTCTGGAAAATTCTTTTTACGCCTTTAAAAAATATAATGAGCTGTCACTGGAATAATTTTAACAGCTGTCGGACGAGTGGCTTAGAAGTGACAGCAATCTGAAGTTGGTTGCAGTTTTTTCATTTCATAGTCATAGTCAATAGTCTGTCATTCATAGCTCGCCAGGTGCTAATCGATCCGGATACCAATCCGTTGGATTAGTGTGTCTGGAATATTTTGGAAAACAAGGTTGGCACTAAAAAATATCAAAGCGTCGATCACCTCAAGCAAACGCTATGCCGGGAATGGGCCAAAATACCGCAGAACAACATTCGGGCAGCGTGTGACGGTTTCATTGGCCGTTTGAAGGCTATAATTCGTGCCAAAGGTGACCAATTCGAACAAATCTAAACTTATTCTAAAATTTGATGTTATTTCCGACATTTGTTGCTCTCATTCAACAAAATTAAAAAACAAGTAAAAAAGCTAGCTATGCGTGGCTGAACTTAATACTTAGGGGTTAATATAAACCAAAAACAAAAATTTATATAAAAGTATCTGAAGTAAAAAGCAGTCCACAAATCATTTGTTTGGCCCAAGGACTAACAATATTGAATTGGAGATAATCGGTCAAAATTTAGATATAGCTCCCATATATATTGTTCATCCGATTTGTTATTTTTGTCCTCCGCAGCCGTAATATGCACTCTGTAACAACAATATTTGGCGAAATATATCAAATGCAGCTTAGAAATACCTTTCCTAAATTTTATCGAGATCGGTTCAGATTTGGATATATCTCCCATATATAACTTCGTCCGATTTATGTTTTGTTGTGCACCAAACGTCTAATATTTATCCAAATGGGATGGAATTTGGCACTTACGACCGAATTGAGTCTAGAAGCTAGTATGTCAAATTTTGTGAAGATTGGTTCAGATATAGCTATAGCTCCCATATATACTCTTCATCCGATTTGTTATATTTGTTACCCGCAGCTGTAATATGCACTCCGTAACGACGATTTTCAGGGAAATATATTAAACACAGCTTAGAAATATCTTTGCCAAATTTTATCGAGATCGATTCCGATTTGGTTATAGCTCCCATATATTTCTTTATCCGGTTTCAAGTTAATTGTGCATCAAATGGGTAATACAAGTCCGAATTTAAAGGATACAAATGCTTCGGCATATTCAGTCCTTTGAACTTTAAATTATAATCATAGCGTGTATGAACTTTTAATTGTTATGCGGAGCTCTACTAAATTAGCAAAGTGGTGTAGGGTATCATAAAGTCGGCCCGCCCGACTTTAAGACTTTCTTTACTGGTTTTGTATTGCACTTAGTAACTTTAGAGATTCCGATATTTTCTGTCACATTAGAATAAAAGTGTCATCTGCAACTATTACAACAAAAAGTAGAATTTTGTAAACAATAAGGATTAGGATTTATTCTGGGTTTTATTCAGAGACATCTTTCTCGACACCACTGCCTACTTACAATGCCTTGAGCCAACGGCACCATTTTTTTATTAACCTAACTTTGACATTTTAAAAACTTACTACAAATTTGTCTCCCAAATTTTCTATGAATCGAATGTTAATCGGATTTTTCTGATTCAGAGCATTCATCACCTAATTCTTCCTCACACTCATCGGAAGATTCTGAATAATTTTTAATCATAAGCGGCTGATAATTTACGTTCTTCAGTTTCAAATATTTCATTCCCATCAAATAGATTTTCTCGTTTGCATCCTGTACCGAATTGATTAGTTCGGCATTTTTCAGCGTTGTTTCCTCCTAGAAATTGTTTAAAATTATTCAAAGCCTATCCCCGCACTTTTCCCTTATTTCCCGTATTTACCAGCATTTTTGATCGATTACTAAGTAATTGCCGAATATCGTGTAATTCCCGTAACATAGCATTTCGTTCCATCGAATGATAATCTCTTTGGATGCGACATTCTTCTCGTAACTCGAAATTTGATCGTTTCAAACGATACATCTCCGTTAGCATGACATTTTGTCGTTCCATCATCACCTTGACCAAATTCTCTAAATTTTCGATAGATATACGATTCTCATGGACGGATTTCTTCAACAACCATATTTCAGCCCTAGCCGATGCAATTTCTGAGGCAGAGGCATCACTGCCAAGTGAGGAAACTTCTCTAAATAGAGTAGGAATCGATAATTAATAAAGTTTAACTATGTTCTACAAAGTATACAAACTTATTGTTTGACGATCCGGGTAAGGAGATTTTTGAATTTGAATCAGAAGTAACGCCTATGTCCCGATCCTTAGAATGTATAAAATATTCGCAAATACAAGACATTTTGTAAATATTTTGATTTTGTATATTTTTTTTTAAAGTCAATGTGTGTTAAGTAGGGTTTATGTATTAAGGTAGAGGTGTATTAAGTTGGGTCTGTTTGGGTACCCGAAAAATGTTAGCAATTGATTTGAAGTCTTCTGTAACCAAAAAAAAAGTTCTGCAATAGGAAGCGATTCGAAAGAGAAATTATAGATTTGTTTGGTATTTTTCCTGCAGGAATTGTCCAGCAGCTTCTTTCTGAGAGAGTTAGACCCATAGTTCTATATGAGAACCCTCATAGAATTAATTTCTGAGTCAATGAGTTTATGGATGTCTGTCCGTCTGTGTGTCTGTCAATGTATTTTTGTGAATAAAATGCAGATCACATTTATTGTCCAATAAAGATGAAATTTTCGATACATCTTTTCTTTTGACCCAGTTTTTACTTTTTTTTTAATTTTATTGATGAAAGCAAAAAATGTCGGAAATAGCATCAAATTTTAGAATAAGTTTAGATTTTTTGATATTTTTTAGTGCCAACCTTGCTTTCCAAAATACTCCAGACACGATAGTCCAACGGATTGGTATCCGGAGATTTTGGTGGCCATTGTGCACTGGAAATGAAGCGAAGAACCTAATTTTTTAACCATTCTTGGGTGGCGCGTGCTGAGTGAGATGTAGCGGAGTCCTTGTGAATGTCCAAGGCTTTAATACGCCCTCCAGACATTTTCTGATGATATTCTGATGCCACGGTCGATTAATACGAGCGGAGAGCGACGATCGGCTGTTATGGCCGGCGCTTGAGTTCTGCTGGCCAACCGAAGGCACACATTTTCAGCTGACCTCTTTGGCAAGTAAACACGATCATTTTGTTTTTTGTTTCTTTACAAACAGCTGGATAACGAATGTTTTCTCATCAGAGAAAACTAAATTCGGCAGTTTACCACTCTCGGTCAAGCGAAGCAACTCTTTAGCTCTTTTGATTTTCTTTCTGTTGCGGTGTAAGTTCTGGCACTTTTTGAAATTTCAATGGCTTCACCCCAAACTCATTTCTCAATTTTTGGCGAATGGAATATTGCGATATGTTTAGCTCACGAGCCACTGCGAAGCGGGATTCGATCAAGTCGCTTCTTTACTTTTCGAACCATTTCTGTTGGTGTTACTGTTTTCTTCAGTCCACGTCCTTGACGTCGGGCTACACTACAGGTATTACGGTAACGAGCGATGGTACGAGACACAAAAGATTTATTCACATTTAAGTGCTGGAGTTCTCTAACGATAGCCACTTGTGGTTTTCCAGCCAAATACAAAAAAATTACACTACCTCGCTGGAATGCCATCACGAATAACCTTTTTCTGGAAAATTCTCACCAAAATGCTTTTGTACGTTTGTAAACAATATAATGAGCAGTCACTGGAATAATTTTAACAGCTGTCGGACGAGTGGCTTAGAAATGATAGCAGTCTGAAGTTGGTTGCATATTTTTCATCTCACCCATAGCTATATCTTAACCGATATTTACAAAATTTGATATACTTACTTCTCCATGTTAGAAAAAAATGCACAAAGACGTAATACCGTTACCGTTGCCGAGCGCTCGCGTGGCGTGTATTGGCTCATGGTAAAAATCTGCTTGGACTGACGCTTCAAACGCGGTATGTCATTAAGCGATGTGACATCTATGTCAAAAGTTATGGCGTTGCCAGATGGGTCCGTCGAATATGGGCAACCCTGTATCTGACCCAATCTTCACCAAATTTGACATACTAGCTTCTAGATTCAAATTCGTAAGTGCCAAATTTCATCCCATTTGGGCAAATATTAGACGTTTGGTGCACAATAAAAGGTAAATCGGTCGAAGTTATATATGGGAGATATATATCGAACCGATCTCGATAAAATTTAGCAAAGGTACCTGAGCTGTATTTGATATATTTCCCCAAATATTGTTGTTACAGAGTGCATATCACGGCTGCGGAGGACTAAAATAGCAAATATGATGAAAAATATATATTGGAGCTATAGCTACAACTGAACAGATTTCGATCAAATTTGGCATACTTATTTTCAGGTCCAATCTGATCGTACGTGCCAATTCCATACTATTCGGACTGATATTACACGTTTGGTGCACAATAAAAGACAAATCGGACGAAGATATATATGGGAGCTATATCCAAATTTTTACCGATTATCTCCAATTTCAATAGGGTTCGTCCTTGGGCCAAACAAATCATTTGTGCAAAATTTTATATGGATCGGGTAATAAATGCGAACTGTTCTTTGTTCACAAAAATACATGGACAGACGGATAGACGGACTGACATGCATAAATCGACTCAGAAAGTGATTCTATGCGAATCATCAAAAGGAACTATGGGTCAATCTCGTTTCCTTTTTCCTGTTACAAACAAATGCACAAAGACATAATACCCTGACCACCTTGTGGTGTAGGGTATAATAATGCATTCTATTTTAAAAGTTATTAAAAGTTTCCGAATAACTGCCGGCTGTTGTTACACTTTAGATTGCCTTTATCTGTGGTTTTTTGAAATTCATTCTTTTTGCATCTAGAAAAAATTCTTTGAGGCACTTTCAATTACGAAAATCTACAAATTTTTAGTAACGATTGCATTCATGACATTAATTTGGCAATACAATTTTGGCATGTTGACATTAATCAGATAATTAATTCAATCAAAATTGCAAACAACAATGATTGTTACTGACTTTCTGCATTGCATGTCATGTCACTTTTATTAACACTCAAACAATACATATTCTAATGGGAACATCGATTATAACATGCAGTACATTCCAGACTGCTGCAATTCGTCATATTTGAAAATAATGAAATTAAACTAATATATATTTCTTATATAATATGATATTATTTTGACAAGAAACAAGTAAATAATGACTTAAGTTTGACCAGACCGAACAGACGTCCATCTATCTACAAAAAAATACAGCTAAAACCCCCAAAATATTGAAAATTTTAAGGTACCACTGTATGGAAGCTGTGTTTAAACGTAGATCGACCACAAGGTGGTCAGGGTATTATGTGTGCATTTGTTTGTAACAGGCAAAAGGAAACGAGATAGACCCATAGTTCCTTTTTATGGTCTGCATAGAATCACTTTCTGAGTCGATTTATGCATTTCCGTCCGTCCGTCCGTCTGTCTACCCGTCTGTCCATGTATTTTTATAAACAAAGTACAGTTCACATTTATTACCCGATCCAGATGAAATTTTGCACAAATCATTTGTTTGGCCCAAGGACGAACCCTATTGAAATTTAGATATAGCTCCCATATATACTTTCGTCCGATTTGCTTTTTATTGTGCACCAAACGTGTAATATCAGCCCGAATAGTATGGAATTTTGCACATTCAACCAAATTAGGCCGGAAAATAAATATGCCAAGTTTAATCGAAATCGATTCAGATATAGCTATAGCTCCCATATATATTGTTCATCCGATTTGTTATATTGGTTACCCACAGCCGTAATATGCACTCCGTAACAACGATATTCAGGGGAATATATGAAATACAGCTCAGAAATATCTTTGCCTAATTTTATCAACATCGGTTCAGATTTGGATATAGCTCCCATATATATAAAATGGGCAATACAAGTCCGAATTTAAAAGATACAAATGCTTCGGCATATTTAGTCTTTTGAACTTTAAATTATTGTTATAATCATTGCGTGTATGATTGAATTCTCCCATAAAAAGTTTTTAATTGTTATGTGGAGCTCTACTAAATTAGCAAAGTGGTGTTGATGATTATTTATAATTTTGATTTATTTATAATTAATCATGTAGGTGTAGCATATCATACAGTCGGCCCCTCCCGTCCTTTGACTTTTCCTTACTGTTTTTATACCCTCTACCATACTATGAAGGGTATATTCATTTTGTCATTCCGTTTGAAACTCATCGAAATAATGATCTTAAACCCAACAAAGTATATATATTCTTGATCAGCGTAAAATTCTAAGACGATCTAGCCATGTCCGTCTGTCTGTTGTAATCCCGCTATCTTTAAAACGAATTGAGATAAAAGGCTAAAATTTTGCACACAAGCAATGGACCATGTAGGTCCACGTTTTCATATAGCCCCCATATAACGGTACCTCCCGATATTCGCTATTTTGATGATTTTAGCGACATTATTCACCGGAATTATTTCAAATTTGGTATTTGAAGTTCGAAATGGATACTACAGCCTAAGACAGAAAATTGTCTGTGCAGGTCCACGTCTTCGTATAGCCCTCATATAACGGTACCTCGCGATATTCGGTATTTCGATGATTTTAGCGTCATTATTCATCGGAATAGTTTCAAATTTAGTATTTGAAGTTCGAAATAGATACTACAGCCTAAGACAGAAAATTGTCTGTGCAGGTCCACGTCTTGGTATAGCCCCCGTATAACGGTACCTCCCGATATTTGGTATTTTGATGATTTTAGCGACATTATTAATCGGAATTGTTCAAAATTTGGTATTTGAAGTTCGCAATGGATACTACAGCCTAAGACAGAAAATCGTCTGTTCAGGTCCACGTTTTCGTATAGCCCCCATATAACAGTACCTCCCTATATTCGGTATTTTGGTGATTTTAGCATCTTTATTCACCAAAATTTTTTCAAATTACGCATTTAGAGTTCGTAATGGAAACTCCAGTCTGTGACAGAAAATTGTCGATGCAGATCCAGGTCTTCGTATAGGCCCCATATACCAGTACCTCCCTATATTCGGTATTTTGACGTGTTTAGTTACAATACTCACCGAAGTTGTTTGAAATGTCGTATTTGAAGTTCGTTCCAAATGGTGGAGGGTATTCAAAGTTCGGCCCGGCCGAGCTTACTGCTTTTTTACTTGTTTTCAACATCAAATATCCCAAAAATAAATTAACAAATTTAATATATCCCCCATTTAATATAAAATGCTATTATTCGTTCCTGTTTGGTACATGCTAATTTGCAATCTATATGATATATTATAACATTCCTACATACACATGTATTTTTATACGGTGTTATTAATAAAAGAAAAAAAATATAACTGGAAAATTTGATTTATGATAATCATACAATCAATGAATGTGGCTCAAAATAACAATAGACATTTGTTTAACATATCGACATGCATGGGGTTCAAGTATTAAGTTTAATCGATAATAAATCAAATTAAATTGCTTAACAACATAACAATAAAGTTAAATAAATTATTTTATTCAATTAACATGAAAATATACCCTATGTCACCTATATCTGTGTATTTGCTAGGGAACATGAAAAGGAAAAAGAGGTTCTTTCAATGCCCTACAACACTATGTGTTTGGGTGTATTATAAGTTAAGATTGGGCCAAAAATTATGTTACACCACGAAATATTGGTCCCCGACATAGGAAACTATAAAGATTCATTTCTATCTCGCCGAGCGTAGTCGATCTAGATAGGCATTTCCCTCCGTCCGTCTGTCCATGTTAATTTGTAATCAAGCTACAATCGCAAATATGGCCCGATCCTCACGAAATTGAAAATGGACCTGCGGATAGGGTCAGAATAGTATATGATCGCAAAATATTTAGCGAGTGAAATGGAGCAAAACAGAACAATTTTCTACACCCCGCAACACTATGTTTTGAGAGTATTATATACAGGTCGCAATTATCGTCCGACCCTCACAAATTTTTGCATGGGAGTAGGGTCAGAATTAAAGCCTACTGTTTTTTAAGATGTACAGTTTGCGGTTCATATGGACCAACAATTTTTTTCCTGATATTGCAGTCGTTCCCCAGGTCACAATAGAAAACCAATCGACACGAAATTTTGCATGAGAAGAGAGAATGATCATTGGATGATATTTGGTTGTAAAATGGACCAAAACTTTCGTGTGAAATTGTTTTGAATAGCTAACAACACGACGGAGTGCGTAAATATTGGGTAAATGCCACTGGTCAAAAAGCTAAGGGTAACATCTGGACAGTGCTCTATGGCATCATTTAAAAAACGAAATCTTTCAAAAGGGGTCTTCCAACATACTGTAGTGTTGTAGGTTATCACATGGTGGACGGCTTACTTATTTATTATAGTAAAGTTCAATGACGATTAAACAATATCTGCACGTTTGTTCGCCAATCGGCTAAATCACCATAAAACAAGTTAAAAAGTATCAGTCGGTATTGCCGGCAGATATATACCCTCAGCCTGTGTTCGATTATTTAAATATAATTTGACTAGTGCTACAATTATTCAAACGTTTGACCATCTATGGAGCAGGTTCCGAAGGAATGTTCCAATATTGTCAATTTCGTATCGGACCCAAAAATATGATATAAATATTCCGACGTTCCTGGTATGGATTATATCGACTCACTCCTTCACTTTATATGAGATATGTAATAATATTCAGAAAGTGTTAAAATGTGCTTGATTTACACGATAGAGTCTACCGAAATATTCCCCTTTTATACTTCATCTGATACAAATAAAAAATATTGAGCAAAATACTGGGCAAAATTACAAGAAAGGATATTTATGTCCAATTTTATGCGAAATCATAAATGCCGATAAATTTCATATTCATATCAGGCTTCTTATTGAGAGAAATATTTGAGAATAGCAAGTAGTAAAGTATTGCTAAATTGTTTCGAAAGTTATAACAGATATAATTATTGAAAATTGTGACCCCAGAAGGGGTTGGCAGATATATACCAACTTCACAACAGATCTTGTGACAGCAAAAATATTTGTGTGTGTGAAATTTGAAGAGAGTTGGATATTTATTTCGCTTTATTTGAGAGTTTTGTTTTTCAAAATCTTGAACCCTATGTATGGGGGAGAAGAAATGGTTCAATCTATACCACCTTTATAATAGATCTTGTGTTGATAGAAATATTGAGATGTGCCAAGTCTAAATGGAATCGGATGTTAATTTGGCGTTTTATTCATGGGTATTCAAAATTTCGACACTTTGTGGGGGAGGAACCAGAAGGAGTGGACCGATACATCCCATGTTAGCACCAGATCTTGGCTTATAAAAATATTGAAATGTGTGAAATTTGAAGACGTTCGGATCCTTACATAACATTATTTAAGAGTTATAATTATTCAAAATGTTGACCCTTTGTGGGGGAGGTAATTGATGGAGAGGACCGATACTGTCCATTTTCGCACCCGACCTAGCACCGACGCAAATATTAGGATTTGCAAAGTTAGCGCTAAATCGGCTTATCGTTTCTCTTTCTGTGCAAAAAAATATATTTTATATATATTTTTTGAAAATTTTGACCTTTTGTGGGGGAGGTACCAGAAGGAGTGGACCGATGCATTCCGTTTTTGCACCAGACCTGAGGCTAATAAAATTATTGGGATGTGTGGAATTGGAAGACTATCGGACTCTTACATCACATTTTATAAGAGCTTTAATTATTCAAAATTTTGACGCTTTGTGTGGTAGGTCCCTGATGGAGTGGACCGATATTATCCATTTTCGCACATGACCTAGCGCTGATGAAAATATGAGGATTCGCAAAGTTCGAGCAAAATCAGATTATCCTTTCTCTTTCTGTGAAAATGATTTAAATTATTTTCTTTGAAAATGTTGACATTTTGTGTGGGAGATACCAGAAGGAGTGGGCGAATTTTGCTCATTTCCGAACTCGATCTAAGTTTGACAAAAGTATTACGATGTACCAAGTTTGAATCAAATCGGATACTCCCTTCGAGAGTTATCGTGCGCACCAGCCACCCAGCCAGACAGACAGACGGACGGACGGACATCGGTAGATCGACTCCAAATGTTCTGAAACGGATTTGGTCCAAAGAGACCTAGGGTCTAAAACCATTATTTCGACTAGGCACGTTTTGACCGTATCAAATGATATATACCCTCTGTAGCCATATGGCTGAGGGTATAAAAATGCGACCAAAAACCTCGGAACTATCTAAAATCAGGGGATACCTTCATAAGAGGGTTATACCAAAATAAATATAATACTTATAATTTTTTGCAAGAATATTTTCTTCTTCCTAAAAACTCAAGTTAACAACCTTTCCGAGATGAGATTTTGAAAATATGACTAATGAAAAATATTTGAAATCGGGGTATACCCATATATGGGGGCTACATCAAAACGTGGACAAAATATTTGTGCATGGTTAAAGCTATGCATATTGGGCCCAAAAAAATGTTGGCCTGGGAACCCATAACCCTTTTGAGATTTTGATCACTTAAAAAATTTAGAAAACTACGATGCTTATTTTTATTCTGTATTTCACTGATTGCAGTCCAAATTAATTTTGCATTTTGACTTCTCTTTGGACGGATTCGTTTGGCTATAGTTTTCGAGAAAAGGAGGTTGTTCAGAAAATCAAAAACAACATAAAATATTCTTCATTCAAATCCTGAAGTACGTTGACCTATTTTTTGACTGCCTTAGCGTTAAAAAATTTTCTATCAAATCCTGTCAATATTTTTGAATGCGGCGGCATTCTTTCATCTTGAAATCACTAAAAGATGGATTTATATATTTTTTTTAAATTTATTAATAATTATTTTATTATAAACAATAAATTTATTGCATATTAACATAACATACATATGTAGATGAGAATCACAGATGTAGAAGTGTTTTGTTTTTTTTTTTATTTTTTTTCTTCGGGAGTGCAGTGAATACAATATTTCCGCTTTGTTTGAAGCTTCGTCTTAAGCTATGATTTTATTTAGAAAAATAAATTAAAATAGGTAGTTGATAACGGTAATACGGTATATGAAAATTTATCTTGACATTGGTGAGTTACATAATTATCATTCTAGTTTTGTAATTCTTTTGTTTTCTTGATTTTTGTTGTTTTGTAAAGAGTAATTGACAGAATATCTAAACTACATATTTTTGGTTCATTGTTTCGATTCACTTGGTTGGTTTTCTCTCTAAGATGAAATGAAAAAATAGAAATAGATTTTTTGGTGCCCAAAAAAGAGTAATCTACATTCAAAAGTTTATTTTATTTTATGTTTCGTTTTTGTTTTTGTTTTCCTTCCAAAAAAATGCTGTGATGTCTTTTGTTGCTGTTGTTGTTGTTGTTTCAATATTCTACTATTTTTAGAAGTGATTCTTTAAGCAGGAATACACAATGGGCGGTAATAGGGATGTCAGCATTGATAACACCAAGTCACCGAGGGCCTGCATGACGGCTGAAACGGAAGCAATGGAAATTAGTGAGTAAAAATAAAATGTGCGAATAATATTATTTATGCATATATTTTTTTATGGACGGGAACCTAATGGGCACACGTCTCACGTGTGAATATTAAAAATGGGTATGTCTACTTATACAGGGTGAAATAAAAAAAACTGAAACAAAGTCAAACGCCATTATTATACCCTCCACCATACTATGGAGGGTATATTAACTTTGTCATTCCGTTTGTAACTCATCGAAATACTCATGTCAGACCCAACAAAGTAAATATATTCTTGATCAGCGTAAAATTCTAAGTCGATTTAGCCGTGTCCGTCTGTCTGTCTGTCTGTTGTAATCACGCTATCTTTCGAACGAATTGAGATAGAAGGCTAAATTTTTGCACACGTACTTATTTTTCCTGTAGGCAGGTTAAGTTCGTAAATGGGTCATGTAGGTCCACGTTTTCATATAGCCCCCATATATAAGTACCTCCCGATATTCGGTATTTTGATGATTTTAGCGACATTATTTACCGGAATTGTTTCAACTTTGGTATTTGAAGTTCGAGATTGATACTACAGCCTATGACAGAAAATTGTCTGTGCAGGTCCACGTCTTCGTATAACCCCCATATAACGGTACCTCCCGATATTCGGTATTTTGATGATCTTAGCTACATTATTCATCGGAATTGTTTCAAATTTGGTATTTGAAGTTCGAAATTAATACTACAGCCTAAGGCAGAAAATTGTCTGTGCAGGTCCACGTCTTCGTATTGCACTCATATAACGGTGCCTCCCAATATTCGGTATTTTGATGGTTTTAGCGTCATTATTTAACGGAATTGTTTCAAATTACATATTTAGAGTTCGTAATGGGAACTACAGTCTGTGACAGAAAATTGTCTATGCAGGTAAAGGTCCTTGTATAGGCTCCATATATCATATATCCCTATATTCAGTAGGTACAATACCCACCGAAATTTTTTGAGATGTCGTATTTGACGTTCGTAATGGATGCCATAGCCTGTGACAGAAAATTTTCTATGCTGGTCCAGGTCTTCGCACAGCTCCGATATAACGATACCTCCCTATATACGATATTTTGATGATTTTAGCTACATTATTCACCATTTATTTCAAGTTTCGAATTTAAATATTGTAATGGCTTATGACAAACAATGCCTATGTAGGTCCATGTCGTATAGACCCCAATATAACGGCGATATTCGGTATTTTTAAAATATTAACAGAATTTTTTAAGGTCTTTATTTTTCGAAAATTTCCAAATTCCTTCCAAATGGTGGAGGGTATTCAAAGTTCGGCCCGCCCGAACTTACTGCTTTTTAACTTGTTTTTACATGTTTTTTTTTTTTAAAATATCGGAAATAGTATCAAATTTTAGAATAAGTTTAGATTTGTTCGAATTGGTCACCTTTGGCACGAATTATGGCCTTCAAACAGCCAATAAAAACTTCATAGCCCATTCCCGGCGAAGCGATTGCTTGTGGGGATCGACACTTTAGTATTTTTTAGTGTCAACCCTGCATTCCAAAATACTCCAGACACCATAGTCCAGCGGATTGGTATCCATAGATTTTGGTGGCCATTGTGCCCTAGAAATGAAGCAAGGAACCTCATTTTGTAACCATTCTTGGATGGCGCGTGCTGAGTTCGATGGTGCTGAGTCCTGTTGGAATGTCCAAGGTCTGCGGCCAAATGTTTTGCGTGCCCAAGGCCCTCCAGAACATTTTCTCGATAATATTCGGCATTTATTCTGATGCCACGGTCGAGCGGAGAGCGACAATCGGCTGTTATGGAGGCCCACACCATCACCATAGCCGGCGCTTGAGTTCTGGTGGCCAACCGAAGGTGCACATTTTCAGCTGACCTCATTGGCAAGTAAACACGATCATTTTGTTTGCTGGACAACAAATTTTTTCTCATCGGAGAAAAACAAATTCGGCAGTTCACCACTTTCGGCCAAGCGAAGCAACTCTTTAGCTCTTTTGAGTCTATTCTCTTTCTGTTGCGGTGTAAGTTGTTGCACTTTTGGGAATTTCAATGGCTTTACCCCGAGCTTATTTTTTAATATTTGCCGAATGGAATATTGCGATATGTTCAGCTCAAGAGCCATTTTCGGCCACTGCGACGCGGGTTTCGATCAAATCGCTTCTTTACTTTTCGAACCATTTCGGCTGTTGTTGCTGTTTTCTTCCGTCCACTTCCTTGATGTTGGGCTACGCTACCAGTACCACGGTAACGAGCGATGGTACGAAACACAAAAGATTTATTCACATTTAAATGCTGGAGTGCTCTAACGATAGCCATTTTTCGTTTTCCAGCCAAACATAAAGAAATTGCGCTTGAAATCCATCACGAATAACTTTTTTTCTGGAAAATTCTAACCAAAATGCTTTTGTACGCTTGTAAACGATGTAATGAACTGTTACTGGAATAATTTTAAAAGCTATCGGACGAGTGGCTTAGAAATGATAGCAGTCTGAATTTGGTTGCAGTTTTTTCATCTCAACCTGTATATGTATACATATACTTATTACAGTATGTATATATGTAAGTATGTATGATTTTTTTTTAGTTCGTGTTAAATTACAATAATATATTCTTAAATATTTAGCTGTGTCACACACACACACAGAGACATTTAGGGACCCATCCACTTACCACCACTGCAGATATCACGATGTACATCCTCAAAATAGCCTCGCTCATTGTCACACAAACACAATTTGGTTTTCGACGACATAAACTTGGCAACGCCAATGGTACGATTCGTGTTCTCATAGGTACAGATAAGGCCATCCTCACACTCATAGTTGCCGCTGCATCGATGACGTAGACCTGGCGAAAAAAGGAAGAAAAATAATAAAAAGGAGAATTAAAGAAAAATTGAATTCAAATCGAAATTTTTAATATTCGCATTTCTTTGATTTTCTTTGTGTTACATGCTGTCACAGTTGTTGTTGTTGTTGTTTTTTCAGAACTTCTTTACGACCTTTTCCTTTATTAGTTTCCATAATTATTCTTTTATTACTTTGGCAATGTGAGATGAAGTTAAGGCTATGTTAAGGTGAAGGTTTTGTTTCGCCTTGCATTGAGCGACAGACGTCTTGCGGATTCGTTTTTCTTTCTCGGTTCTGCATTGCGAAGAAAGAACAATGAGTTAAACAGAGTTAACACGCACTCCCTCTTTGTTGGTGGTCAACAAGGTCTTAAAGTTGTAGTGCCATTACAAGGATGAGTGTAATGGTTTCACTCAAGCTGTAAATTAGAAGCCAATATGTCAATTTCTGGAGAAAAGTGAGATTGAAATCTGTAAACTACCAAAAAGTTGTGCAGGGGGGGGCTTCACCTAACTTCGGACATTTATAGATAAATTTAAATTATTTTGTTGGCTCTTATCAATTGTAAATAAGGCTCACCGTTGGAGCAATGTTCTCACTGCAGTTTGCAAAGATGTGACAATAATATTAGGAGAGGTGCAGATTCAAAGTCGGAATATTGCAAGATTTCTCTGACCTTTCTTGAACCGTGGAAATTACTTGAGGAGCAGAAACTTTCATGAGACTTGATCTAGGAAAATATGCATATGATAATACAGAGGCTAACACATCTGAGAAGCATTACCAAAGAACTGAACGAGAAAGGTTTAAGATTATTTTTCTTCTTCCCGCACATTTTACACCCTTCACCATACATAGTATGGAGGGTATATTAAGTTCGTCATTCCGTTTGTAACTCATCTTGAGCAGCGTAAAATTCTAAGACGATTTAGACCTGTCCGTTCGTTCGTCTGTTATAATCACGCTAGAGTCAAAACGAATAAAGATAGGAAGCTAAAATTTTGCACAGATCAGTCTTATGTCTGCAGGCAGGTCAAGTTCGAAGATGGGATATATCGGTACACGATATCGTATAGCCCGCATACAACTGTACCCCCCAATATTCGTTATTTTGAAGATTTTTTATTATTGTCTGGAAATCCACACAAGGAGTTCTTTCTGAGTACTTTACTCTGTGGAAGACAATTGTTTATATAGGTCCACGATATCGTGTAGCTCCCTTACAACGGTACCCCCGATATTCGGTATTCATACTAGAAGTTCATTTCAAGCAATTTACTCCCTGGAAGGGAAATTTCTATATAGGTTCAAGATATCACAATGGATACTACAGCCTAAGACAGAAAAGTGGCTGTGAAGGTCCACGTCGTCGTATAGCCCCCATATAACCGTACCTCCCGATATTCGGGATTTTGAAGATTTTAACGACATTATTTACGGAAATTGTTTCAAATTTGGTATTTGAAGGTCGTAATTGGTACTACAGCCTATGACAAAAAATTTTGCTTGCATGTCCAAGTCTTCGCATAGCCCCCATATAACGGATCCTCCCGATATTCGGTATTTTGATGATTTTAGCGACATTATTCACCGTAATTATTTCAGATTTGGTATTTGAAGTTCGTAATGGATACTTCAGTCTATGACAGAAAAGTGGCTGTACAGGTCCACGTCTTCGTATAGCCCCCATATAACGGTACCTCCCGATATTCGATATTTTGATGATATTAACGTCATTATTCACGGAAATTGTTTCAAAGTTTGTATTTGAAATTTTTAATGGATACTACAGCCTATGACAGAAGATTGTCCGTGCAGGTCCACGTCTTCTTATAACCCCATATAACAGAACAACCCCATTTTCAGCATTTTATTATTATTTTAGCGACATTATTCACTGAAATTGTTTCAAATTTGGTATTTGAAGTTCCAGCCTTAGACAGGAAATTGGCTGTGCAGGTCCACATCTTCGTATAGCCCCCAATTAACGGTACTTCCCCTTTTCGGTATTTTGATGATTTTAGCGACATTATTCACGGGAATTGTTTCAAATTTGGTATTTGAAGGTCGTAATTAGTACTACAGCCTATGACAAAAAATTTTGCATGCAGGTCCAAGTCTTCGTATAGCCCCCATATAACGGTACCTCCCGATATTCGGTATTTTGATGATTTTAGCGACATAATTCACCGGAATTGTTTCAAATTTAGTATTTGAAGTTCGTAATGGACAGAAAGTGGTCTATGCAGGCCCAGGTCTTCGTATAGGCCCCATATATCAGTACCTTCCTATATTCGGTATTTTGACGATTTTAGGTACAATACTCACCGCAATTGTTTGAGTTGTCATATTTGAAGTTCGTAATGGATGCTACAGGCTGTAATAGAAAATTGTCTATGCAAGTCCAGGTCTTCGTATAGCTCCGATGTAACGATACCTCCCTATGTACGGTATTTTAATGATTTTAGCTACTTTATGCACCGTTTATTTCAAGTTTCGAATTTGAATATGATAATGGCTTTGGACGTCGTATAGACCCCAATATAACGGCTATATTCGGTAGTTTAAAGATTTTAACAGAATTTTAAGGGGTTTTATTTTTTTGAAATTTTCCAAATTCGTTCAAATGGTGGAGGGTATTCAAAGTTCGGCCGGGCCGAACTGATTTTTAACTTGTTATTTATCCAATATTTCGATTTCCTCCGGAAATCATCTTCAGGGATATTTCTAAGTAAAAGCTCGTCTATTCGGTTTAAATGTCATTATCAAACCTTTCGAATGTCACTAAGATCCTTTGTGGGAAGGTACATCATGCAGTGGACACCAAGTGATCAGAACATTCCTACTCGCAACCAAGTTGTAACCCTAAGAAAAATCTAAATAAAAACCAAATTCACCATTTGGTAGGTCGATCGCCACATGCATGTTAATTTGCAATCACTTTACTGGTCGCAATATGGTCCGATCCTCTCGAAATTTTGCATAGAATTATAGTCAGAATAGAAGCCTTATATTTTTGCAGACGACGCATCGGCATATAAATTGGCAGAGGTATTTTCGAGCAGTATCTGATGCCCGGTATCAAATATCAATGTTGTGGAGTGCATATTACGCATTTGAGAGACTTTAACAACAAATCGGATGAAACATATATAACTATATCTGAACCGATTTTCACCAAATTTTTTTGCACTTGCTTGTGGTCTGAATTCCGTCCAAAAACCTGGGATAATGAGCTATATCCAAATTTGAACAGATCTAGACAACATTTTAAACACTTATTTCTGAGCTGTATTCAGTCGGGTGAATTCAGTCGGAATTTACATAATTCAGTCCATTTGGGCTGATATTAGCCAATTTGTGAAAAATAAACCTGCTATCGGATAAAAATATATATGGAAGCTATACCCCAATCAGATCCGATGTCGATAAAACTTGACAAAAGTATTTTTGAGCTCTATTAGTTATCTGGCACCAAATATTATTCTTGAGTGGAGTGCATATTACCCATGTGAGGGACTTAAAACCGAAATCGAATGAATTGTATATGCGAGCTATTGTTATATCTAAACCGATTTTCTCCAAATCGGAAGTACTTATTTTTAGGCTGAATTCGACCGGGAAATTGCGAAAATTTAGTCCATTTGGGCTAATATTATCCATTTGGTGTACAATAGACCTGCAATCGGAAAAAGATATATAGGAGCTGTATCCAAATCTGAACCGATCTCCATGAAATTTGGCAAAGGTATTCCTGAGCTCCATGAGATATATATATTATATATACATATTACGAAAGTGAGGAACTTAACCACCATCGGATGAAACAAATAAATTTGATGTATTTGGTTCTAGACTGAATTAGGTCATTTGGACTGATATTGGCCATATGGTGCACAATTGATCTGAAATCGGTTAAAGATATATATGGGAGCTATATCTAAATTTGAACCGATTCTCATCAATTTCAATAGGGTTCGTCCTTGGGACAAACAAATATTGTTTGGAAAATTTAGAAAAAATTTTGAAAACAGAATTTTATTTGAAGTTCGGATTTTCCTTATTTTTTATTCAGAAAACACATAAAATATTTCACTTAGGATTCAGAAATCCCATCTGAAATTCAGAAAGTTTCATTCATAATATACAATTTTCTAATAATTCTCCGAATATCAAAATTAATTACCAAAAGTATCGAAAACCAATATGCGAAGTTGGTCATGACTCGTATGTTTATTTCTGCATATTTGTTTCTTTGTAGTTTGACTCACTTTCCAGAACATCCAGAATTTTAGTTGCAATTTACGTAATGTTGAACCCATTATTATGCATCTGATATTTTCGGCTAAAAACAAAAACAAATAACATTCTTGTTCTTACTTTTTTTATGATAAACAAATAATATTCTAATTTTAGAAGTATCCTGTCACATATGTCATCTAATTATTTCCAACTACAAAAATCTAGCTAACATTTTCTCTCCCAACATTTACGTTTTTAGTTAAAGAACAACATCACCTAATTGAAGTGCACAGCAAATACAACATGGCATCATTAAAAATATTTTCAAATGTTTAAATATGCCAAGGACAACATCGTTTTTTAGTTCACATAGAAACAACAGCAACACGAAAATATGTGATTTTTTTGTCTAAAATATTTACATAACTACAGTTAGATGAGTAATTACCTTTTACAACGTCCGGACACAAGCCATTGTTGGGTGGATTATCATTGCCGCATAAACAACGCATTTTATAGTCATCCGGATCTCGAACACAACTTGAGTTTTCTATCGCGGCACATTCTTCGTGTGTGGTACATTCGCGGCCCTTAA